TAAATAAATGGTGATTTCTATATGATAGTTTTTTTTCTAATTATTGATCATGACTGTATGTATGTGTAATACTAAAAGCTCTCGATCAATCTCCACTGGCTTCAGTACCAGTCAAGCGGTTGAGAGAGTAGTGCAGGGATCTTATAGAGTCCTGCTTTTCCCTCCATGGTTGGAAGGACAAGCATGCCTCGGAGTTCCCTCGCCTGATTGTAAATAGGTAGATGTACAGATGTATGTGTTTTTGTTTTTTTACTTTCACTTACGTATATATGTAATATATAGTAAGTGTAAGTATTGCGATCGAGAAAATTTTTGAATTTGCGTTTTCGACGGATTTATACGTTTTGAGGTACCCTGAGTCGAAATGACCAAGTCCCGAAAAATGGTCTGTGTGTCTGTGTGTTTGTATGTTAGCAGTCTAGCTCAAAAACGAAAAGTCCTATGAAACTGATATCCCGTATTTAAGATAGGTATATGCCTTAGTTGTGACGGCAACTTTCTCCTTAAAATCGGCTAACCGGAAGTGTCACTTTATATCAACGCTGAAACACATTTTCACAGTTTTCTCAAAAACGGCTCTAACGATTTTGATTAAACTCGGTGTATCATTGTATAATTAAGTGGTATTTAATATAAATTAGGTCTTATCCCCATTGATGTCACTTTAAAGGACTTAAATGCCCAATGTTCATATACGTCTTCTTCTAAAGTACCTTTAATATGGTTTATTTTAAAAAGATAATTATTTCGCATTATTCAGAGTTATGAAAAAATGCTAAATATAACTTTTGAAAGAATTTGATAAGTTAATAAAAGAGAAAACAAATAAAAATGCAGAAAAACGTAGCTATAGACTGCAGCGCCTAAACGAATGTACCGATTTCATTGAAACTTCGCTAAAGTCATTTTCTCGACACCCTTCAAATTTATCTATATAACATTCATCAGCGAAAAGAAGCTGAAAAAAAGTTACGAGGGATGGTAAAATTAAATTCCGAATAACTCAAAAAGTATACACTTTTTTTGGGAATGTTGTATATGGTTTTCTAAAAGTTTATGGAATAGCCTAAAAAACAAAAAAAAAAATCGTTAAATTCGGACAATTAGGAGATAAGATATGGTCTCTAGTTTTTTTTAATACGTTTTGCTGCAATGGTTATATCCTTTGTTTCGGTTTTTGAATTTTGAATGTGTTAATAAGGTAATGCTAATTTTTTTTAAATATATTTAAAATCCACCTAAGCAAGTTGATGGCATTGTTAAAAAAATTATTTCAGTGTACTTGTGTGACAGAAGAAATAAAATATAAAATCATTTCATGGATGTATAAATCATGTGTTTATAATATTAAATTCATGTACTGTAGTTTAGGGATTATTTATTAAATTTTAAATTGGTCCACAATCGTCTTATCTTTTTGGCTACATTCAAGGAATTACTGTTATATATGTGTGCGATGTTATATTGCATTCCTGGCGTTTGAGAATTTAAAGAGAAAAAAGGAATTTTTTTATTTTATTTTGGTGAAGTGTTTATTATGCTATGTCTATTGTTTAATATGGTTTATTGTTGATAATTTGTAAGAGTATTGTTATGAAGGGGGAGAAAAAAAAAGAAAAATATAATATACAATTAATGTCCGTATGGATTGATAAGTATACTGTGTACGAAGCAACCCTATGTAGTAGGGCAGCATTACTTTTAATAAAGTATTTCTCTATAAATAATTAGGTATTAAAGTTAATTCCAAAACATTGTCATATAACTTTTTAGATAACTAAATTAGTGAATAATTCGATAGATCTTCCCTTTGCGTTAGTCCACTACCATTTCATTGTACTTGTGTGAAAAAAGAAGTGAAATACAAAAATATTTCATAGATACGTTTATAACCCTAAATATATTTACTGTAGTTTAATAACTCTATATCTCATAATATATTTAAATATTTAGATATCTATCGTCCGTTTATTCCGAAAAATCATCATTTAACCTTTTAGAAAATTAAATTAGTGAATAGTTTGATAATTTTTCTTTTTGCGATATTCCAACAGAATCCACTTACAATTAATGTGACAACTTTTGACCTGTCTATGACAGACACTGCAAATCTCTTAATTTCGTTTTAATAAACTTTGCAATGGAAAATGTTGTCTCAATAATTTAATGTTGTCTCAAGTTTCATTTCTTTTGTTTTATTAAGTTTTTTTTTTCTTTTGTTATAATTTTTCTATTGCTATTTTGTTATTGTACTTACAGTATGGATGAGTCTAATACTCAATGCCCTTAATTGAGGCAAAATTTATTATTTCTCAATAAAATAAGATTAATTATTATGATATTGACAGTAGATGGAAAATATCAAAAATATATATATATCTTGATATTTTCCATCTACTGTCAATATCATAATAATTAATCTTATTTTATTGAGAAAATCCGCTAATGTTTATTCTACATATTTTAAAAGTTTAAAGCCAGGCAGAGAATAAAACTGTCTTCTTTATCAGTCAATAAAAAATGTTAATTATTGAAAATGTTAATAATTCTGAAGTACTGAAATCCATCTTTCCTTATCTATCGGCTCTTAGTCATAATTGATATCTTGAAACATTACACTTTCAGAGACTACAGATATCGGAAACATGAGCTGCTTCTTGTAATTATCGCGATTATTCTTAAATAGAAACAAATGAAAAGTAGGTACCTGATTCTAATAATTTTCATGGCTCCTGACAAATTTATCTCTATTATGACAGGCAATCGGCTGCAATTCTTTTCTGTTTTTATACACATTATGTTATTAACATCTCTAAAATATGGCAATGATATTTATGTAAACATTCATCAAGTATCTCTTTCCCAAAAGCACCTAGCTAATTCACAAAATAACTCTAGGCCCTGATTCTGAATATAACCAATACGTAATTAACAAAACCTTAACAAAAAAATTGCTGTCTATGTTTTTCATTCATCATAAACTTGGTCTTCTCTTTCGAGATCCTAAGTCTTTTCTAGGAGGTTGATCTAAGTGGCTGTCTCTTCTAAGTTTTCTGTAAAAAAAAACCTGTACCACTACAACCCATGAAGGGTCTTCGGTTCAGTACTATTTAGGGAAAACACTGTTTCTTGGTCTACAATTGTGCAAGAAGGTGATTTGACCGAGATCACGCTCATCCGCCAGGTTTTTCCCCTTAATTAGTTTTAATTAAGGGTACCCACCTTATAGAAGCTGGCTGAGGTGAGCCCCAGGAGGGTCACCCCACGGCCAATGAAATAGAATAAATAATTTTTCTGCCATGAGCCGGGATTCAAACCTGGGACCTTTAAAGCATTGGAACTGAGTATCCTACCAATGAGCTACCCCACTCTTAAGAAAACTTATAGCTAACTTAAAGTCGCCATATTTTTTTTAATCTATTATTAATAGGATTCGGGTTAATTGCTTACTTAATATATATTATTTGTTTTAATATACAACTAGAACTAAATTAATAAAATAATTGGAAAATCTATGGACTTAAAAATTAACTTCGACTAGTACAACGGGATTTATTCCAACAGGTCAAATTTCCACACACGTCCTGAGCTACGCCGATTTCAATGTGAACCATATTTATAATTATATCTTTACCATTCATCATCTTCTCTTTAGTAAAAAGAGAAGGTTAGAACTGAGAAATGATACAACTAAATCGTTTCAAACAGAATTCACATTCCTTCGTAAAAATGGAATGACAGATTAATTGATTTATGTAAAAATTTTATGTTTTCAAGAGAGTATACAAAAATAAATTCAGTTAGTTAAATGTACTTATTGTGATATACGTAATCTTTAATAATATGAAGTTTTCCACAGCAAAATCTATAATCAGAACTTTTCGGTAATCCGAGCACCTCGTTGCAGAAATTAGTTCGGATAACTGAGTTTGTACTGTATTTAAATTTACCTCATAAATCATAGAGTATTTACATACACTAAGTCAATGACATTGTAGAGCTGCCAATAATAATATACATTTATGTAGTTCATGCATTTAGGCATTTTCCATTCATGCAATAACGTATGTGTGGAACAGATAAGAAATATATTTATCAGTATCTTAAACAAGAAATGCAAATAAGACTCAATGGAGGATTCCTCGACCATTTTATTTTTTTCTATGAAATATGTCAGTCCTATGAGAAATAGTACCATATGTACAATAAAATATTAATGCGTACTTTTTCAGCAGTATTAACGAACAAAAGTCTAGGACTGAATACATCTGCGTTTTGAACGGTCCTACATCCTGCAAAAAAAAAAAATGCCTCATAAGGGAGAAGCAATTGTCTCAAATTTAATTTATTTCAAAAAGGGATTTATTTTATGTAGTAATTTAAAAATGCTGAAATACTAATAATCAACCTGTGGTGTTTTCAGAATTTTTTAAAAATATTTATTAGAATTTTATTTTTGTATGTTGAAAGAGGAGGCAGGATATGAACATTCATGTATCCTCCATCAGTAACCGGAAATATCTTTGGAGCCTTTAGGTGGATCGAGGAGTGGTTTAAAAATCAAATAATAACTATTATTAAAAATACTTCAACCACAGAAACTAAAAAATACATAGCTATTGAGTTTTTGGCCCATTCTTCTTACTATTTTCTTTTCGAAAACTAGACACTCATCTCTTTATTGAGTATTATTACATTCTGACACTCTTCTGATAATTAAAGATAATTTGAGGAACCCGAACTAACTAGTTAGAATTTTGACTAATCAATACTTGATTAACATTAATGGTTTTCGTTGACATTTGTAATCAACACAGAAATTATCTAATCATGAGCAAAATGATTGACCAAATTGTTTATTTTATGATCTTCGAATTCCAGACAGAATTGACGCGTGTTAATTTTATTTTTAAATCATATCTGTTTATTTAGAAGGTAATAGTAATCATATATTTTTGTATTAGGGAGATATTTCAACACGTTACAGGGAAGAAGTGGAGATGGCCCCATTCATACGCTTGGATAAACAAGACATGTAAGTTAGCACTCCCATATATGTGTATATATTATTTAAATAAATTATATAATTCGCATTTCGTAATTTTATTTTATTTAAAAAAAATATAATAAAACTATTTTTACATGTCTTAATTCAAGGACCTAAATCATTTACATATCATCAACTTAATTAAGTCATGAGGAAGAAAGTTTTTAATAATTAAATTTTCCTCAAGAATATATATTATTTTACTAGTTTATCTTCAATTTTACAATACGATACGATTTACATCCTGGGAGGATTCTGATGATGCCTCTTTTTAGGCGTCGTAGATTTGTAAGGCCGAAGTTGCGATGGACAGATTTCTTAGCCTATTACGCCAAGAAAATATTTGAAGGTGCGAAACTGTATGGCAGGGGCATGGAGTAGAGACGTATGGCGGTTACTGTGTTTAGGAATCCAGGAGTCTTTATGGGTAGTACTCTTAATGTACTCCAGGACTCCTAATGTAGTGTTATTAAAGAAGAAAAATATACTATATCATCAAGTTTATTTTTTCAAATAATTTTTCTGAAAACCTTATTTCACTACATTTAATTTTTTTTTAAATCCGACTATGAAATAATCCTTTCCAATCTATAAATAATTTACTTTAATATCTACTTAAACATATTGCTGCATAGGTCTATGAAGATTGAATCTTGATGTATTCGAGGCCCTCCACCTCCGAACGAAACTCAAGAATTTCGGATGTTGAAATGCATCGATGCATGGGACAAAATGAGCCAGTCCTATATATTTGTAGACTATTATTATTAATTTCTATAATAATCTTCTAATGTGTTTAAGTAGATATAGTTTTTTTTTTTTGAGAAAATTTATCGTTATATTTAAACATTAAATTAAAATAATTAATAAAATCTATTTATTTTGATATCTATTTGGACCTATGTACCTATGACCTATGTGATATCTATTTGGACCTTTCAGTCCAAAGTCCATAGAACAATAGTCAATCCTCCCTTCTATGTAAGCAACAGAAGCTTATTAGTCCATGACCAACATCTCATTTGTCCTAGACCTTATCCCAGAAAAATTCTCCAAATTTCACCCAACCTTTACGTATCATCCAAATCCCCTGGGACAATCCCTATCTAGCTCCACCCATCCCTACCATCCTCCTCGAAGGTTGAATTGGCAGTAGTCCAGAGAGCTTTTGTAGTATATATGCTGGAGTTCTGACACTAGCCAGATTCTCTACTCAAGACATGAGTGTATGTGGCACTATCGTCCAATCTCCATTGGCTTTAGCACCAGTGACGCAGTTGGGAGAGTAGCGCAGGGATCTCCTGGAGTCCTCCTTTTCCCTCTGTAGTTGGAAGAACATGTCTAGCTTGGAGTTCGCTAGCCTGACTGTACATAGTGTATGTAGTAGTATGTCAGTTTTGTTTTGTTTTTTATTTACTTATATATAAATTATTTTATTTGTATCCAGTGTATCAGAATTGGCCAGAAGGGGATTCATGGCGCAAGTCGCGCCATCAAAAGTTTTGAGGTGGGCCATTTTGAAGGGGTTTTTAATTTTTGAGAGGGCACTTCGACAGGTTTTTGAATTTTTGGAATGAATAGCTTCAAACCAAAAGACGAGGGGAAGAATGGGACAGACTATTGGAAGTGTAATTGTACAAAATCCACGATTTTTTCAATTCTACTTTCGCTTTCTTTGTTTTTAAGAAGAGATGAGTAATAAAATACCTTGGGAGGGGAGAGGATAGGTTCTTGCGGCGTTATCTACCTTGTGGGGACGGGCGTCCCTGCATTGTATGTACTTTTTGATTATTATTTAGTTGTTACATTGCTGCTGTTTATTTTATATTTTCTGTCTACATAGTGTGTATATAGTTGTATCTCACTATAACCATTGTCCATGGTACAGATTGTTACACTGCTCAATAATTAAATAAAAACATAGTGTTACGTTGAAGAGTTGTCTACCGTAGATAATTTATACTTGACTTGTCGATTCTTAGAGCATCGAACCGAAGCTATCCGGACCGATTTAGATTTCATTTATTGCAAGGAAGTGCATAACCGGTGTACAACCAGTTACTGATTGGTAGTTGCTTTCTTATATCTAATGCCCATGTAGATCCTTTTAGTGCATTCAAGGGTGCATCAAGGGTGCGTTGGCATGAAGCTGAACACGTTTTCCTGCGTGTAAGAAAATGCATATTTTTTAAATTATTTCATTACAGTTTAAATAGATACAAATAGGATAATATTTTCCATTTGTAGCCTTAAGTCTTCCAAAATATTAGATAAGATCTTGCAGTTTTCAATTACCATTCATGCAGATTGCAACAACAGACAATTCATCGCTTAATTACTTCATTAATTTGAATGAATGAATTTATTTTATTTAGTTTGAATATTAAATTTATCAAAGAATATAAAATATGCCTTATGTAATCCACTTTCTTTCGCTTATGCTATGAAACTTTTATTTTTAAAGTAATATTATTAATTTACATACAATGTACGATCTCCACAAGAATACTACGTATATGTACTTATATCAAAAAAATATATTTGAAAGATGTAGAAAGATATATATTAAGAGATCGTGAAAAATTTAGAACCCGCGTATTCAACGGAAATTCACTTTTACACCCATCCTGAATCCAAAAAGCCAAGTTTTGTAAAATGATGTGTGTCAGTGGGCCTAACTCAAAAACGAAAAGTCGTTCGAAACTGAAATCACGTATATAGGGTAAGTAGATGCCTTAGAAATATTTCCATCAATATTATATATTTAATAATATTAACTCTTTTTTTGATTAGTGCTTTGTGGTAAATCATTTGGATGATGCTGAACGATTTGCTAAAAGATCCTTTTTTAATGTTTATTAATTACAATTTTTTTTAAATTTGTCTTTTCAACAAGAAATTATTTTTTAACATCCGTTTATTTCTTCTAATAATTTGAATCCTGTAATAACTTTTAACTTTTTGTATGGTAAATAATTTATTTAAATGAATATTTTATATCTTAAATAATTCTTTCAATCTATGAATCTTTTACTATCTATGAAAATACCTCAAATATTAAAATAGTTTAGGTAGGATAGTAAGTGAAAGTTGTGTGATGCACGCACCATAACAGATTTTTCTCAACTGATCGAAATTTAGAGACAGGAACTAGTAATGTTCAGCAAAAAAAAAAATAGATTAAAAAATAATAATTGCTTTACAAAACGATCCAATCAAGTTAATCGGCAATAGCTACACCGTGAAATTGGGCTATTCTTTATACACTTGTGACGAAACAACTTCACTAGGCTTTCAATATTTTTCGATATCTCTAGTCACATCAGCCAAAAACAATCACGTCCAATCAAAGACTAAGACAGCAGACCGCCAGGAAGTGGAAGGCCCCAATTGACACCCATCTCTGGCCCCCCAGACCCAGTGGAAGGACCGAAATCGGGGAGTGGGGAAGGCCTTGGCGAAGTAGCGGGGCAGTCATGTGGCCGACATGCAGGAGCTAACTGTCGAGGAACCCAGGTTCGTCTCCCAGGTTTGGTCCTCGATATTATATATTATATATCATACATAATACATAATACAGTTTCGTCAACTGAGGTAATCCTGTATCAGGGTCATGGCCGTCATGACTGGAACTTTCACTCTGGCCTGGATACGTTCGGAATTAGAAAGCAGTTTGTTTACAAATAACTCCAGGCTGTAGATAACTTATAATAAAAACATAATTACCAACAAATTAAACTATATTTCAGTGCCCTGGAGATAAAGAATTCCATATCCATTATTTAATTAAATAATTTAGAAACTAAGAAAACGTTTTAATAACTCAAAGTTATGGAAAACTGGCTCCCCGCAACAAATTCAAATATTGACATGGTGTAATTTACCTCCGGAGTACGGATTTACACAGATTTTTTTATATCTATTTGTAAATCTATTCGTAAATGAAGTTCCCTAAGCTTAACACTAAACTTTGATTTACAACCTCATTTCTTCTGCATGTGTCATAACAGTGATAGTATTGCATTAATTTAGTTTTTCATTAGTAGAGTAATCGTTAATTTTATGTAATTTTTTTATATAATTTACAAGTAGCTAGATTATTGAATAGTTTTCTTTTCTCAATTATTATTAAATTCCATAACTAATTTATACATTTTTCTATTCAGTAGGGCTTGAATTATTTCTTTACATAATGGTTATTTATTTATTATTGATGAAAAGCCATCATCCAATTTCACGCCTACGTAACCTCGAAGATTGTAAAGTTATTGAAGTCTGTAAACTGTGTATACCAAGTAATTGCACAACCATTGCCGACCTAATGAAAGAATAATAGGTTATTTTTTAAAAATTATCGTATTGTAGTCCGACATAAAATTTATTCTGTGTTAGAATAAATATTAGAATATAAATATATTCGAGACGAAAACTTCCAAAAAAGTCAACGTCGTTTATTAATCTTCCAACAATACTCCCCTAAAGACTTCTTCAAATCCTCACATTGACTGCTTAATTGGCGCCCGAAACTCAGTTCTTCCGTTTGCATCGGTCATCAACTTCTGAAGAATAATAGTTGTCAAATAAAAACTGATTTGACAGTATCCATCGTAGTGAATCGATTAATCAGTACAACATTCATTTATTTTCAAACTAGGCAAAAAACAGGAAATTGATGAAATATTTTGTATTTGCCCGACTGGAATAGATTTGATCCTATTCAATAAATAATTGTTAAATTATATATGATAATCTGAGGAGTGGAGTAGCTCAGTGGTAGGTACTGAGCTTCCAATGGTAAAGGTCCCGGGTTCGAATCCCGGCTCATGGTAGACAAATTATTTACTCTGTTTCATTGGACGTTAGGCGATCCTGGGTAGGTAGACCCTCCTGGGGCTCACCCAGCCTCTATAAAGTGGACACCCTTAATTAAAATAATTAATTGAGGGGAAAAAACTTGGAGGTTGAGCGTGATCTCGGTCAAATCAATCACCCCCTTGCACAATCGTAGACCAAGAAACAGTGCTTTCCCTAAAACAGTACTGAACTTAAGACCCTTCATGGGTTGTAGTGGTACAGTTTTTTTTATGATAAGCTAATTTATTATTCATACAAATGAATTTGAGAAATCGACAACAAACAGAATAATAATTAGTTCAAGACTAATTAAGATAATATAGTTTTTAAAAAATGCCTTAAAATTAAAAATATTAATAGTTAACAATTTTAACCAAACAAACTGGTTTCAGTCTTGTGTTGTTTATCCTTGAATAATCAATACAAAATTAGAAGGCAGAAAGTAGTTGTTTGGTTGATATTTTAAAAATATTTTCTGCAGTATATTTGTTACGACAGAAGTTTGATCATATTCTTTAGTGCTATTATTATAATTATTTTAGAATTATTATACGGAATTCCCAACAGACCGTTATCAGCAAAGATAGAGCTTACTGTAAATTGTA